CAGTCCTGCTGTAGGAAATACACGCTTACTTGCACTGTCGGGTTAGGTCCTTTGTTAGCACTAGAGCTAAAACTTAGAGCTGTTAGCGTTTACCTTCGTTAAAGGTAGTCTTAAATATTGTATTGCAAAGATCTGCTTCAGCGAGGTCACCTAACGAAGGAACCTTTTTCTAATTGAGTGTTGATTGTGGTGTCTTAATCGTCTCTCAAATTTGCATTTTCTCAGTTGCCTGTTTTTGATTCCCATTGCAGACAGTGAGGAGTGTTATTGTGTAAAGAGAATTTTCTCTGGTGGGGACCAAAGCTTTGCACACTACTTTTATCCACAGGTAACACATTAAATATACTTTGGTTACAAAGTCTGTCAAAGTTAAATTTTAGTTTTTCTCGTGCATTTTAAAAGATCTTCATACTGAAGGTGCATGACTACATTGGAAAGTTTGTTAGAGCAGTGTGGAAACAGGAGGCACTCAGTTTAGCAATTGGAGGACTTGGATTCAGTTACTGCGTGTTAGCTGTCAGTAAGCTCTTGAGGCTTTTTGGCATAAGCTTTTTTCCCAAGAGATGGATGAATACACTTCTTTTCCTTTCATAAAGGAGAAGGTGATTGAATATTTGAGCTCTTCACCCCTGCCCAGTCCTCCTCAGTAACTCCTGACTGCAGCTTTGCTGTCTTCTGCTCTGTAGCCATTTTAGCATACCATAATGATGAGGAAACAAATGGAGCTTTTTGCTAAAAATGATAGGTCATGACATAGTTTTTTATGTGATAAGAGTTTTACACTAGTCTTAAAACTTAACTTTTAAAAGGACAAGAATTGATCTGTTTAAATTCTAGTATGGAAAAAAAGTCTAGAAGGACTTTACAGTAAAAAATGACAATGTGAGAGTATGATGGAAAGAAAATACTATTCGAGGATGAGTTGGGAGGAAAAAAAAAGATGAAGATATATGGGACTGTTTCCAATATGGCCCAGCAGATATTAGACCGTAGGGGTTGATGAAGCATCCAGAGTTGAGTATGTGGAGTGAAAACTAGTTTGGACACAAAGGAAAACAGATTTTAGCAGGAAACACGTTTGTTGTCAAGAAAAACTGAGTACAGATCAGGCTTGCAGCAACCCTTTGCTCCCACAGCCTTTTCTGGTTGTATAGAGTCAACAGTTTTTCTAGGTTTTTTTTAATTTAATTCTGATTGAGTTGGAGTAACCATTGCTGTGTATGAGAGATGCTTGTTTAGCAGGTGTAGACTGGAAAAATTACTGATAATACAGGCTCAAAATTTCTCCATTAAAACCCCTTTCTTAAAAATTTTGTGTGCAATTTTCGTAATGACTGAAGTAGAGTCTGACTGACTAATTGAGGTGAACTGGAGACTGTATGAATGCAGTTATTGTGGCTTGTTCTGTACAAAAAGTATTATCAATAGATGAACTTTGCTGCAAAAGTATCCCTTTTAGTACTCTTTAGTAATTTGTATTGAATTCTTTGAAAGTTATTCAACTACTGTACTCCTGAGACTTGTGTGACCTTGCCACTTAAGGAGTCTCAGCCAACACCTGTCCTGTTTGTTTTCTCAAGTTAGTTTTTGGGCAGCTCAGTTCCCTGAGTTGTTTCATTGTGGGTTTAAATGACCCTTCAGCTGGACACAAGGGAAACGGCAAGAGGATTTCTCATCCTGATCCTGTCGGATGGGATCAGAAGCACTGATTTTTGGCAACAGCTAGTCGTCATTATGCTGAGTCAACCACATTGTCAGACTGCACCCTGAGGAGAACTATGTTCCCTTTTACTAGTTTAACCTTATTTTTGGTGCTATTTGCCATCTGTTTTTGAACCAGTGCTCCTACTCTAAATGATGGTCTGGATTCTACTCCTCTTTCCTGTTAGAAACCTTACTGGAATTCATTTGATATCAGTTCAGTATTCGGTAAAGGCACGTCAAAATGCAGCTTGTCTGAAGATGCAGTGAATGTTCAGAGAAACATGATTCATTCTCAGAGGAGTCTGACGGAAGTGGGGTGGGAGAGCAGCTGTCCAGAAAACTGAATGACTGCTTTTCTGTATGCTCACAGCTTGGCTCTGAGTGACTAGGGAGAAGAGATGCTTGCCACTCTTGTCTAAAGCTTGTTTAGTGTTCATCATATAGAAAAGCACTGTATGTTTAAGGAGTTTACCGTTAAATAAGCCATGGTGTGAATTAACACACTAATCTTGATGTTTTTACTGTATGCTCTGCTTTCACAGTGAATGCAGAACTGCTAGAATACAGTAAATTTATCCTTGGGCTTATTTCACAGTAATAGTGTGGGTAGGTAAATTGGCAGTCAATGAAGAGATAAAGAGCTCAACCACAGGATTGATTTTTCTGGAAATCAATTTGTGTGCCTGATTCTTTATACTTTCTTTAAAATTTAGAACATGGTACCACCAGACGATTTCAGGTATCCTGACTTTTTGAAACAGATCTGGACTGTGAATGAAACATTTATTCAAAGATTGCTGACTTTCCCATCTGGAAGACTTCCTGTAGAGATAGCTAAGTAAGTGATGCTGAGGAAAGAAGTTGTCTTATAAATTTACTTATGAATTGGGCATTAATGGGGTTTTGTACATACATAGCAAATATATTTTTAATTACTGATTTTTATTACATGCAGAGCTTTTGCTGCGCTTTCATTGTCATGCTTGGCAAGTAGTTTAGATCCTTAGTCTGTGTCATCTCTGTCACAGTTTAGATGACTATACAAGATCAAATTAATTATCTGGTTGCACATTGAAAAATAACAGTACATGTAAAGGAATATGAGAACAACTCGAAGATTATTGTTTCTACCTTAATAAAACATGATGCAAAGAAATTAAAAACAAATTGCAAGACTTGCTTTGATTTGAGCAGTCTTAAGCATTGAGTCTTGGATGGAGGCTTTATCTAGTGTTGTTTAGTCATATTAAAGTCAAAGTTCCATCCTTTGTACAATGTGATTTATTAGGGGTGAAATACAGGTTTTTATTGCAAATGCTAATTTGTAAAAAGACAATGAAATAAATGTAACTTATTTCATATAAACAATTTCAGTGAAATTGATGGAACATTCTCCTCAGCTGGTTGTCTGAATGGGAGCTTTTTGGCTTTGAGGTAAGTGGTCAGGCTTTTAAACAAGTATTCCTGTAAACAGAATTAATGGTGGCTACCTGCCTAGTGTCTCTTTTCAGTTTCAGCTGTAACACCTTTCCAGTATTTCCTTATCTTACTGTTACTCTGATCCCGCAGTTTAAACTTCTGGCTCCTTTACTGCCTCATGGTTTGTCCGCTGGCCCAAATGCAGCGTGTCTCCTGCCAGTGTTTGGAAGTGTGTGCTGCCTGGCTGCTACCATGTAAGCCAGCAAAACTCATTACTTCTCAGCCACAGGTTGTATATGATTCAAGGGGAATATATTGCACAGGCTGGTTTAGATCCTCGTGTTTTTACATGATTGTCTTTCAGTTGGAGAAGATTTTTTTTTTTTTTCAGTTGCTTCCAAAGTCACTTAAGAAATGGAAGTCTGATACTGTGATCGCTCATGTTTTAATTCCTTAGGCAGTAGGGCTAAAAGTTCAAGGTGGAAGAAAATTCTTGTGTTACTGAGAATACAGCATTCAGTCTTTTTCTCTGTTATTTTTTTTTTCTTTCTGCAGCAATGATGATCATTACAAAACCAGCACTAGGTTCTCAGGGGTTGATATGAATGCTGCTAGACTACTGTTTCACAAACTTATACAGCCTGACCATGCTCATATATCGCAACAGGTTTGTGCTGCGTATTTTCCTTATGTTTGCGACTATCTTTCATCATTACACCTATCTAGAAATACTATTGTTATACTTGCTCTGACCCTTTTAATAACCTTCTTTACTCAATAATATATCAGCTGCAAATATGTAAAACTGTATTGTGTTGTGATAATTAGGTAACACATTAGCATATTGTATTTTAATACTTAGTATACTGTCTTTTTTCTAAATGTGTAATAGTCCAATTTAAACTCTTGATGATTGTATCTAGGTGGGCATCTGTTCAAATCACCATTGCATTAAAATAAACAGAATTTTATGATGTGCTGTAGGTGGCAGCTAGTTTGGAAAAGAACCTTATTCCCAAATTGACCAGCTCCTTACCAGATGTTGAAGCTTTGAGGCTGTATCTCACTTTGCCAGAATGCCCACTGATGAGTGATGCAAACAATTTCACAACGTTAGCTATTCCTTTTGGATCGGCTATTCTGAACCTAGAAAAAGCTCCTCTGAAAGTTCTTGGTAAGAAACTGAGTTCTTTACTGCTAAAACTAAGGATCTCCAGGTGAAAATGTATAGAAATTCCATCAGTGAAGACATTGTCTCAGCAACTCCTGCTATGTATTTACAGTTCTATAGAATTCCCTGAGTGAGAAAGTTAAGGGTTCACGTTGCTTGATGGGTAAGAAAACACCTATTCTATTGCTTCTGGGTGAGTTAACTGGCCATCCATATGAATTCATCTCGTGTTATAATCGTTGGATTGATTTCATTTGGGAGGAATTAAACTGTGTAGTTAAGTGTATTTGTGTGTCTTTGCACTTGAAAGTGAAAATTATGTGGACAGACAGCTAACAAGCTCTAAGCAATTCACAGAAGTGTTGCAGAGCAGATGTTAAATTGTGTTTGTTTTGACTACAGCACCTATTTTGTTGCTTCTAGGCAGTTCCTGTTTTCTTACTGATCCTAACACGTGGTTTTCAAATATCCAGCTGAGAATAGCTCTGTTTTTTTAACTCTGCTTCCTTACACCTTCTTATCATGACTCCTGTCACTTGAAATTCAGCTTAAAGAACTGAGGTTTCAGAATATTTCCTTTTTAATTAGTGTCTTTTTGAGAAGGTACTTTGTTCTTTCTTAGTTGTTTTTTGCCTTGTAACCCATGTCTTGTGTTTTTCAGTAGTTTTTGGTGAGAGTGAAGAGCTTATCTGCTGTAAAGAAAAGCAAACTGATAATTTCTTTGAACTGTAGATCCTTTTCTTTTCCATCACTTTCCATTGCTCTCAGGACTGTTTGCTTAAGTCAAGGTTTCAGGGTTTGAACTATTCTGGTTTTATTTCAAATGTTTTATTTCAAATTTCGTGATACTGTCATGTACTTTGGATGAACAGACTTCATTTAAAGAGTTGGTGTGTAACAATAGAGCGTTTGAATAGAGGCTTCATTATTTATGCAAAGAGTAATTTGCTGTTTAAAGGTCTGCACCACTCTTGCTGTGTTAAACTTTTTTTTTTTTCCCCAAGAGCCTTTGGTAACTGACAAGTATGCTTTCTGGCAAAACACGTTTTTTAGCTAAAAGGATAGCATAACATAATGTAGTGGCATGTACTAAGTTTATGTGTGCACTGTTTGTTGACAGAAAATTGGTGGTCTGTACTTGAACCTCCGTTGTTCCTCAAGATAGTGGAACTCTACAAGGATGTTGTAGTCCACCTTTTGAAGTTGTGCAAGATTGGCATTCCCGCTTCTGAAAGAAGAATACTTACCAATTTTCTACACACGGCTTTCAGAGTTCTGGAAATATTGCATAGAGTATGTTTACATCAATTTTAACCAATTACTTATCTGTTTGTTTTTGTCAGCATCTGTGGGCTGTGTAGTTGTTAAAAGAAGTTAAGTTACTAAAGAGTTTTAAATACTTAGACTTGCATCTACAGAGATATCTGTAGTTGTTCCATCTTGGACCTATGAACCATTGGAATTCTGGATTCCAATCTGACATGGTGGTGGAATTACCTGTTTTCTTGGGAACACAGACTGACCCAGTCAATTGCATCTGTGAGGGTATGTTGGAAAGAATTGCCTCTTAAGCTTGAAATGATAGCAAATAAGATCACAAATGGAAGATTAGAGCAAGCTGTATTTTGAACAAAAAAGATCTGCACAGTTTTACTAAGACAAACATTTTTTTTTTCTGATTTGTTATTCAGTTTGTTAGCACTGTAACTTCATTCATGAAAACAAATGAATTTATGAACTTTGCACAAAAATAGCCCAAATCATTTTCAGTAACCAGACTGTGTGCATCACAGTGTATTATCTAATTGCTGTGAGGGTTCCCCTCCCACCCCTTATTTTTTTTCCTCTCTAGTTTATTCTGGTCCTGTGGCATTTTCTGTTCGTATGCTAAAAGAACATTTTGGGCACTCCCTAAGGTGCTGGTCAAGTACTGTATTTGTATAATCTAGCAAAACGGGCACAGGTATCTAAATTAGACCTTTGTGAGCTATACGTAACAGCTCTCCTCCCCGAGCTGTCAGAAAGAACAGAAAAGATTTCTGCTTTGGAAGGTGGAATTTGTATGCCATGGTTTGCTCAGCTTTACTTTATTCTTTATGGAGACCATAAAATTAAAATGGAGAGTAAGACTGTTTAGTAACTATCTTGTGTTAGAAGTGCAAGATGTCCATTACAGATTCCTGTATGGAAAGCTGTTGGTATATAATAAATGATTATTTTGCTGCCTTTAGAATTTCTGTCACTGCTCAGGCTTGCAGTAGCTGTAAATCTTAACAGCTGAAGTTGATCTTAAAATCTTAAAGCCTCATGGGAAATTGTGGAGTTGTAATGTGGCTCTCCTAAGTTCCTTGTTTTTTTGAAACCCAACTTTGACTAATATGTAGCTACGTCATAGAAATAGTTAAATTTGTACCTCCCATGCTGCCTACCTGTTTATATTGGTATAGTCTTAATAATTAGCTGGTACGGACTAAAGTAAGAGGAAAAAATGGGGCTATATATCTGGGATATTTCACAGATTTAGTATCTGGTGGTTTGAGGTGGAGGGGCAGGGATGGTGGGGGAGATGTTTGAGAAAAGTAGGCTTAGATTATTTGGTTATAAAGACAGAATCAGGAATCTTACTGTTTTGGCAGTTAACAGTGCTTAACAATCCTTTGAAAAGAAGTGTGTGTTAGGAAAGTGTAGATGCTTCTGGATTAAAATTATACTGTAGAGACAAGCCTTTGTATAAAGTTATTTTTCCACATCTCTCTCTTTTTCTAAGCTTAATGTTTTTAAATGGAAACTGTTCCTCTGGTCACAGGTAATAGAGATAGTATTCATACTGTAATTAAGAATAGAGTTCTTGAATCATAGTTCTTAAATTTGTGCAAATACAGGAACAAGTATTTGTTCTGTTATATACATGAATGTGTATATTCATCAATGTTCCTGTGAGATCACATGATATTTCAAAGTGGCAGCACTGTATTGTGCGATACTGTATGCTCAGTTAATCTTATTTTTCTTTGCTGCTTTGGTGAGATTGTGAATAATCCATGTATCCATGTCTTTGACATTGTTTTTTACATTCTTGTAGGCACTATTGTTTTTCTAGAATTTTTTTAGTAGCTGAGTATCTATGCCTGACATACCAAATGCTTGAAAAACATGGAGAATGTCCTTTTGGGAACTGTTACACAAAGTGCTAATAAAAAATAAATTGCACTTCTTTAGGTAAATGAAAGAGGACAAGTTATACAGTATGACAGATTTTACATTCATGAGATACAAGATTTGATAGATATCAGAAATGACTATGTCAACTGGGTCCAGCAGCAGGTATTTGGAATGGTAAGTTGTGTTGGTTTTTATTGTGGGTTTTTTGTGGGGTTTTTCCCCCCATGTTTTGTTTTGGTTTTGTCCCTTTAGAGAAGCCTGTAGGTTCTCTAAAAATGGGTACTTTCTTTTCATAAAAATATCTTCACAGGTGACTGATGCTGAACAGACTCATCTTATGTCAGGTACTAGCTAAGGAAGAATTGTTAAATAGGTGTGCTTCTTGTAGGGTATCATTCTTAGGACTGACACTGTTCAACGTTTTAATCCATCAATTAAAAAGTGATTTAGAATGCTGTCACTTGAGATGTGCCATGTCAAAAAAGTTAGGAACGTTTTAATTCATGATAGGAAAACATCTAGAATAACCTGAATTGCTATATAAGATAGATTCAGTCAATGAGAAAGCTGAAATTGTCTTGGAAAACTTAAGTCTGGAAGCATAATAGGGAGTTACAGGGGACAGATAACGAACATAGTTTTCTACTTTGAGTATAGCAACAAGAACTGAGATAATTAAGTCCTGGATCTGTAAACAGAAGAGTGGTAGGTGGGAGGAAATTAATGACTGTGCAGAGAGTGAGTGAGTTGGACAGGATTTTGCCACAGTTCTTTGACTTGAGCTTTGGAAGAGTATTCAGTAAGTTAACATGCTTTCTCTAGCCACTGAAATTTAATTTTTTCTCAGCAATAGCTGGAAGGTCCTGAGCATGGGAGACCTATTTTTGCTGTATTACATGAATACAAAGCAAGGCTACCAGAGAATTAAAATTGCAATGTAAAACAACAACAGCAGGGAGATTGGGGAGCATAAAGAAATAATGAGTCAGTGTTGGCAGTCATGACAGACATTTGTTTCAGCCAAGCTTGTCTGAAAAAATAACCAGTGTGTGAGGGAGGCTGGTGTTGGTAGCTAAGAGGAGTGGTATACTAAATGAGATGTAGAAGCTAGGGATAAGGCTTGCAGGGCCTTGGAATTAAGAGACAGGTTGTGTGTTTGGAACAGAGAAGGGTATGCCAGTGAAGGGTACGGAAGTGGTGGAATTTAAAAGATGATGACCTTTGCAACTATGCTTTAAATGGATGAAAACAAACCCAAATTGCATGTGTCATGATGGGAGAAAAAAATATTGAAAGTGGGAAAATGAGAGCTAGAAAATTGCTTTGTAACAAAAGTTTTAACCTCCATTTGTTAATTAAATCGGAAGATTGAGCAGTAGCTTGATGTTACTGGGAAAATACTGAATTCCCTTTAATCATCATTATTTTGTCATGCATTTAGGCAGTTTCAAGTTCAGCAGAAAATGTTATTTCGATCTGTTATAGGACTGAAAGAAATTCTGTGGCCTTGGTCAGATCTCCTTCGTGAATGGTTTCGATGGCCTTTCCTGCCTCCTTATCCACTAGTTTCCTGTGTTCTTACTTTTAAAATGATAAGAAACCCTACTTTTGCCTATTGAATCAGTAATAATGAATAAAAATTTCTTTTGCTAGTGTAATTTTTATTGTCATAACTTGAGGCAAAACTGTTTGCTCAGTTCCTTGATTAAAACGTGGAGCGGAAAATATAAATGAAGAGAGAATCTCAGAAGTATTCAGAGTATTCTCAGAGAGAAACTTGGAAGAAAAAACTTTTATTCTTTCAACGACAGAAAAATGAGTGGGGAAAAACCGAAGATACTAAATAATGAACTATTGATTAAAGGAGTTGAGAAAAAACATTTGAATTAGGAATAAATAATGGTAGATACAGTAGGAGCACAAAATTGCATAAATCTACATGTGATGAATGGGATACTCAAATCTGGTGTTTCCTGTAGGAATTAGGAATACAGATAGAAAGCAAAGTATTCTGGCCATCACTTTCTGTGAGCCATGGATGTCTGCATATTAGACTTCTGATTCTTTTGTAAATAGACAAATTTAAAATTTATTAGTTTGTCATTACCTTTTATTCTTTTTCTGTTTTCTGCCTGCTAGGTGGAAAAGAACATAGCTTTTAGCAGAGGATAAGGAGGGTAACACAGCGCCAAATGGATAACTTAGTTTCTTAGCAAAGTTGATCTAGCTTGTTGTGCAAGTCTCCACCCGGTCCCAGTCATATGTATTGGTCTGTCTCAAATTTCAAGTCATTTGCTTTTCTCATATCATATCTCATCATAGACCCAAACTATTCTTGAGACTTTATGATAAAGTGTTGGGGTTCTTTTGTATTTTAGAATTTTTACTCATTAAAAATGTTTTGCATTTAATTTACATGCTACAGTCACTTGTGAATGAAAATACATAAGTAAAAGCGAATGTCATTTGTTAATGTATGGAAGTAAACATTTAAAATGTTTAAATTTTTTGCATTCAAGAAAACATGATGCTTTAATGGTCCTTTTTTTAAAGACTGATATATAGGGTGCTAAAAGGCATGGTTGTATTTGGTAGATGAAGTAGAATGTTTATAGTTGATATTTATTTCTCAGTAAACATTCTCTTGGGAGGGGAAGCTGTAGATAAATATTTTTAATTCTGCATCAGAGGTGAATAATTAATGCAGACACTAATGCTGCTTTTTCATCTTAATTATTGCTACCTTTGTGCAAATGCTGTCATAGGATGTCAACCATGGATTAACGGAGGTAAGATTGGTTGCAGTCTGGTTTCTTTTGCAGAATGTGAGGAAGCCAGAAATATGAATGTCAAGGATTGTCTGATGTGTTCTATTGGGAGTAAAGCTTTAAGTTAGCATGGCTGTAATCTGAAAAGGTTTTTGTGGGGCAAAAATACGTAATTCTTTGTATTGCAAATTCAGAGCAGCATTTGAAAACAAGGAATACATTGATGATATCCCATAGCTGTAATGAAAGTTGTGAAATTAAAATGTACTAAGTGAGAGTGGTGTTTGTGTGTGTTTTGGGGTTTTTTTGTTTTGTCTTTTTTGTTGTGGGTGTTTGGTTTTTTTTCTGAAGTACTAAACAGTTGAAAATCTACTTTATTTTTAATTTCCCTAAGATGCTTTGGTCCTGCATTGACGATGAGTAAAGATTTCTTGTCTCTTTCTAGTAAAATAGATGTATTAAATGAGTACTATTGCAATGGCTTCTTTAACCATGATTGTGGTTTTCAAATAAGCACAGCTATGACGTGGTTCTTTTCATTCTAGTTAACAGATATTCCTGTTACAATTTGCACATACCCGTTTGTATTTGATGCCCAGGCAAAGACAACTCTCCTACAAACAGATGCAGTCATACAGATGCAGGTAAGAGTCTCAGTTTTTAATGTTATGAATTTTTATTTTATTTTGTTTTAGTGGGGTGTCTTGCGGGGTCACTGTTGGTGTTGGGTTTTTATGGGTTTTTTGTTTGGTGGGGTTTGGTTGGTTTTGTTTTTTAAAATGCTGTGTAATCTCTTCTCCATAAGAATGAGGGATCTAGTGGATTTGTGATCTCACTGGAATTAGATTGTTTAATAATTGCATAAATTTCTAAGAAACTTCTTTTCCTTTCATTAATAAGATGGCCTTTTTGAGGTGTTAACAACCCATAGCATAGGTGTAAAACAAACAAACAACAACAACAACAAAAAAAACAAAACAGAACCCCACAACAAAACCAAACAAAACAAACCACTAAAAAAACCCCGCCAACCACCACACCCATCCAAAAAAACAACCCCACCTTCCGTATGAGCAGACTTTAAATGATACATATTTAGATCCTAGAGCTGGAAGTCAATGTGTCTTGTTAGAGGCAGCAGCCAGTTACAGTTACTTTTAATTTCTTCTCTTAGTGGGACTTAGGAGCTAGTGCTGTTCTTAAGATTGGTTAGTATCAGAGAGACAGCATGCTGGCACCATGTGAATATTTAGTGCATACCTAACTTCTTATTTCATCTGTCATACCACCTTCAAAATGCTGCTAAACTCTGAAGTCTGATCGGTGTCTGCAAGGCAGTTGAAAGAAGCTTGTCTTGAAAATCTAGCATCTGCTTGGGATAGTCGGAGTAGGTTTCCTGATCGTGCAGTTTGCAGTAGTTTTTGGCTCTTTTCCTGTTAAATGCAATTGTATGTTACTCCTAATTTGTTTACTTCTGTTTTAACTAGAGACTTTCCTAGAAATTAGATACTTGATACATATGTCTTGACCCGTATCTCTTGTCTAGAGGTAAACATGCTAGACAACCCTAAAGTAGCTGAGAGGATCCTATGTGTTTTCATGATTCTCTAGCTAGAACTGAAACCAGTGTGATGTGGTGAGCTATACTTTTATTCTGTGCTTGGAATTTTTTTTTGTGCATATAATCCATACCTGTTCAGTTGCTGTAAGGGTATAATAAACCATATTCTTAGAAAAGGAAAGGAAGAATGAAGGGAGGCTACTGCAAAAGTAATAGTAGTAAGAGCACCAGCCACCCCCCCCCCCCATGTTTATAATGTTTAACATAGTAGAATTATTGTTCTGAGTCTGAAATTAAATGGAAGAGAGAAGTCATGCTCAATTAATGGACTCGTAGAAAAATACTAGCTTGCTTTTGTAGTTCATAATAAACATAGTGTCTTGTGCATTCAAAAATGTATATATGCGGTCAATACAAACATTTGATGAATTCAGGGAAATGTTCACATTGAATGTTTGTATGAACAATATTAAATAGTATTAAACCACACAAACTTTCAAGAGTTCTGTGCCATATTTGGAACATTTGCAATAGTATTTTGGTTTTGAAGAATTGTAATACAAAAATTATAATACAAACAAAATAGATGAGCAAATCACTTTTCATTCTGTGAACTAGTTTTTAATGGATGTTTTCATGCCGGATTTATATTAAACAGCTTACACTTCATTAGATGAAGTGCAGTGGGGTTTTTTGCTTCCTTTTGTTATCCAAAGTATTTTGACTGGACTGTCAGAAACTCTATTCTAAGACTTCCCTGAACATTAGCATTGAGGCTAATGGGTAAAGGAAAACTATTTCACGAAAATAACTATTTCCTGAGATAAAAGGAATACAAAGAAAATTCAGGCAAATTCAGTAGCTCCCATAATAGCTATTTCTATTCATGTCTTCTGCACCTTTTAAGATGAGACTGAGAGACATTTAATGTTGACAGGAATCTTATGTTACCTACTGACACTTTCACTTTGTTTTTTTTCCAGATGGCTGTTGATCAGGCTCACAGGCAGAATTTGTCTTCTCTCTTTCTGCCAGTATTTGAATCTGTCAACCCATGCCTGATATTAATGGTACGGAGAGACAATATTGTAGGAGATGCTGTGGAAGTCCTAAGGAAAACAAAGAATGTAGACTACAAGAAGCCACTCAAGGTACTATCAATACATATTGCTCAAAGTGTCTTTCACTCACGTGCAAGTAATTGAGAATATCTTTGGACAAATCTTGTTTCACAACCTGTTTTTAATTCAGTGCTAACTGAATAGTGTGTTTCAGGTTATTTTTGTAGGGGAAGAAGCTGTTGATGCTGGAGGTGTTCGCAAAGAATTTTTTTTACTCATCATGAGGGAGTTGTTAGATCCCAAATATGGAATGTTCAGGTATTATGAAGAGTCCAGGCTGATCTGGTTCTCTGATAAGGTAGGGTGTGGTCTATAGTCATTAATTTTCTTTTAACTTAAAATACTTATATTAATAATATATGACTATAGTAGTTTGTGGTGGTTTTATTTCAAGAGGAGAAGCTGAAGGAAGTATTCTAAAAATGTTTATTTTTGTCGTCGTTAGATCAGAACTTTCCCCTTCTCTTTTCCCCATTCCTCACTAACTCCTTACCAGTTGTACCCAACCCAAACAAGTTTAGTAGGAAGAAGTGCCAGCCAGAGTAAATGGATTCCAAGAGCAGAATCAGTATATCAAGGTGGCAGAGTAAAATTCTTTAAGTGGCATGTTGAACAGATCTTTTTGTGTTCAGTCACATTTATGAGTCTGTTTTGTAGGTAGTCATCTAGTCATACTTTCTTGAATGCTTTGATCATTATCTTTTTTAGTCCTCTTTCAGAGAAAAACAGTGACTTGGGTGGCTATATCACAAATACCTGAATGTTAACACTTCCACAGTTATGCTTTAAGCCTTGGCTATTAACTCCAAGGGAGTCAATAGTGAGCTCCTCCATCCTCCTATCCAAAATAATTTTTTAAAAAAATTTGACTTACTATTGCACTATTCAGTGCTTAAACATAAGTCACTGACAAAACCAGAATCTTAATGTGGTACTTCCAGCTGTATCCATCACTTGTAACACAAAATAAGTTGTGTTTTAAGTAGAGAATTCTGTTTCCTTGGATTTTGGTGTCTCTCAGCTGGTTTAACACTTCATGCTGTTTTCCTCAGTATTAAGGATACATACATATTTAAATAAAATATAAATGAAACTCACTCAAATGATACTGCATTGTGCACTTTTTTCTGGACTCTGCAAGGTTAAAATAACTTTGTTATTTTAAACTATCTTATCTGTTTTTTGTTCTTAGACCTTTGAAGACAGTGACTTGTTTCATTTGATTGGTGTTGTCTGTGGGCTAGCAATATATAATTTTACTATTGTAGACCTTCATTTCCCTTTGGCTTTGTACAAAAAGCTATTGAATAAGAAACCGTCCCTGGATGACTTAAAAGAGTTGATGCCAGATGTTGGCAGGTAAGCAAGAAAGAAAAATGAGTGTTACTCGGAATTAATTTTTAATTCAGCATTTTCCTTTAAGAACATAAAGAAAATGTGTTATTTTCACACTAAAAGGATAAATAGCTCAGAGTAACTTGCAGCCATCATGCAATTTGAGAAAGGATACATGGTATTGTTAAACACCTGCTTCTAAATGCCTGGTTTTAGTATTTGTGTCTTCTGTTTTATAGTCCTTAAAGACTTTTAGGGGAAAATAATATTTGAAAATCAAAACCTTTGAGTTTTAGGTATAAATTTTATAAGCCTAAGTGTGAACATAGTTTTAGTTCTGAACGGCTTATTTAGTCCATCAAGGAAATGTTTTTGCTTATTTCAGGAACAATTACATGTTAAATATCTGCCCTTGAGTAGGGATTTGAATAGCACTAGCAGGTAGGAGGTTCAAATGAGTGGAAGTGAATATTTGATTGCCTCAGTGTTGTGAATGTTAAAGTTTTCACAGATTCAAGGAGAAATCAAACAAGTTAATGGAAGAGCCCATCAATTGTTATTAAGTACTTACTGCTTCTGGTTTGGGAATCCCTTAACTGAAGACTGGGATATGAATCTTCTGTCTTCACACCTGGAGATAATCAAAAGGAAATAAAACTACATGTTACAGCAAAATGATTGCTTCCCAACACTGCCCATGGTGCAAGTCTATGAGTTAATAAATGAAATAACAGTGGAAAGATTATTTTTTTTTTTAACTTGAATTATCGAAGCATAAAAAATACTTCAGGAAAATAAGTTCATCTTTCTTTCCACGGGTACAAGTACTTTGTAACTTCTTTTGCAGGGGAATGCAACATTTACTGGACTATCCAGAGGATGACGTGGAAGAAGCATTTTGTCTTAATTTTACTGTAAGTTTTATATAGTGTTTGAAGTATTTCTTACCAAGCTCATACCATCTATTATAACTGCCTCTGATGGAGTATTTGAGCAAAAGCATCAGCTGCTGATTCCCCTGAATTTTAGCATCTGTGTCTGCCATTCCTGTTGCTGTTAGCTAAGTGGTGAGAAGTACTGTATGCAGTAACTAAGATCTATACTATTTTTGTTTGTTTTAAATAGATCACTGTGGAAAATTTTGGTACAACAGAAATTAAAGAGCTTGTTCCTAATGGTGCTGACATTCCTGTAGTCAAACAAAATAGGTGAGTTTTATGGGTCACAGAGTCTGCCTTGGGAATGTAACTGGGCTGCTGTAGATATCCTTTGCCAAGCTGTTACAGTAATGTTGGAGGCAGAACTACTTTGGTTGTTTTTCCAAGCTGTTCTCATGAATATTGTTAAAATAGCTATTGTATTTAAGGATTTTCCAGCTGTGGAGAGGCTGTCTAATTTTACTCAGAACGTGTAATACTTCTTTTTTACTTTGAACTTGGAAGTATTTTGAAGGTCTTTAGGCCCTATTTTGACTATGTGGTCTTCATTTTATGAGATTAAAATTGGTTGTGGTTCTGCAGGAACTTATACATAATTAGAATTTAGTGAGTAATGATGAAAACTTCAACCTAGATGCCATTATGTGGCAACTATTCATATATGAAATATTATTTCAGAGAAGTCTTCCCTTCTCTGAAAGCCAGTAAGTTAATCTAATGTTATCTGTTGTTATTGTCAGAAGAGTGTATGAGGGGTGGGTTTTTTCCTTGGTCAAGAGTTCAGTTATTTCTGTTTATAAAAGCAGCCTCTCCCACCCTTTGTTCCATTTCTGCTCTTGAACGATAGGCAGATTGTATCTGGTGATGCTTTTGTCCCTTTTTGCAGAATACTACCGTTTTCCTATCTTCCTCTGTCCATTCCTCTCATGTATTCCTGTCTGGTTTTTAATCTTTGTGAATTCTCTGTGCTTTTACTTCTCCCAGAGTAAAGGGAGGAGAGAATGGCAGGAGCGCACTCTATGAGAACAGAATGCATCTAGGCTATGCATGGTAGGAGTGAGGGAGAAAATGGACCTTGAGGCCTGTTCCCGGAGGGCAAATGTTTTGGGCAACGTTTTTGTAACTAGCTACGTCTGCTGTAGAGGAAAGAGT